TCTACTTCAAGGTTCAATGTGTTGTGCATTCAGAGATCATATTCTGCATACCTTGGTTGTAACGAGTGGTTATTTGAGTTACTGTTGCCTATCTCTCAAACCAGTCTACCCACGCTCCTATGACATCAAGGCATTTTTGTCCACACAACTGCCGCTCACTGGATATTTTCTCTTTTTTGGACCATTCTCTGTAAACACTAGAGATGGTTGTGTGTGAAAATCCCAGTAGATCAGCAGTTTTTGAAATACCCAGACCATCAGTCTGGCACCAACAACCACGCCACAATCAGAGTTGCCTAAATCTCCTTTCGTCCCCATTCTGATACTCGGTTTGAACTTCAATCAGTGTCACCACATCTAGATGCCTAAATGCATTGCTGCCATGTGATTGGCTGATTAGCAATTTGTGTTACCAAGCAATTGAACAGGTGTACCGAATCAAGTGGCTGGTGAGTATACTTACATACTGCTTTTCATTTGGTTTCAAGTAAATGTTTTTAGAGGTTTATTTCCCCCTTTCACAAAAAAATCTAAATCTCTTTGATCTCCAGCATTTCCAGTACTTTGCGAGTAAAATGTACTATATATATATATTTATATATATATATAGTTTTACTCGCAAACTCCAATCTGCTTTTTTTGTTTGTCAGTAGGGTCCTCCTGGGTCTCCTACCATAGCATCCCTTTTCATTCAGATGGCGACATATAGTGCGAGCTGACATAGTTGTGTCAGGAAGTTGATCAAGGTTCTTTATCCACCATTCTAACAATCCTTTGATCAAATTTTTCTTTCGTCCATGTGCAGGGAGACTAGATACAGTGCGTGCCATGGGCTGTAAACTTTTTGACAATGTTGCGCACACTGGGCACAGGAACATTAAGATCTCTGAAGATGGACTTGTGAGCTTGCGATTGTCCGGGCTTTTCCACAATATTTGTTCTCAAATCCTCAGACAATTCTTTGCTGTTCTCTTCTCCATGCAGCACACAACAGAAAGGTTGAGTCAATGTTTCACCTTTTTAACTGTTTGCCCATGTGATTTTTGACTATATTGTAGGCACCAGTTAATTGATACAGGGAGTTTATTTTTTTAAAACAATTGGCTTTTATTCAGAAAGGAAAAGCAGAACATATGAAATACAGGTGAGTTTAATCATCCCTTTCATTCAGATGCTACATATAGTGCGACTGACATAGTTGTGTCAGGAAGTTGATCAAGGATTCTTTATCCACCATTCTACAAATTATAGGAGCATCAAACTTGGAATGCAATTTCTTAAAATTTTGAGGAGGTGCCAATAACTGTGTCCAGTCAGTTTTTGGGATTTTGATTGGAATAGGTTAAGATTTGGTTTTTTGCTTTTTTCCACTTTTTTGTGTCTTACCAATACAAAACAATAGAAACGAACATGAGAATGCCTAAATATTTATAATTGCAACAATTTTCTGGACAAAGTGGTGCACTAACAAACTCAGGGGTGCCAATATTGTTGGCCATGACTATCTATAATAAGCACAACAAATAAGCACAGTAAGCACATAAGGCTTCTTACTCCTGTTGGAGCAATCTTTCAGTCTCCGCTCATACATAAATAAAACAACTGACTGCTGTGGTGAAATCTGATCTGAACGCTGTCAGAACAGGAGAGGAGCAAACTCTCCCTTCAGCTAATAAACAGTATTAGGTGAATTAGAGAGAAAGTTTGCTTTGGTGAAATACAATCTGAATACTGTCAGAGGAGAGGAGTGCACAGTGAGTGGGGGACTGTGAAAGATCACACCCGCAAATAAAAGGTGGCTATGCACGGCTCAAATATTGGAGTATTCCTACATCTGCCAGAATTCAAGCTGTGGGTGACCCTCTTGGCACAACCCAGGGACTATCAGATGCTGTCCTCATTGGGGTACTCAAGCAGCTGTGGGTGTTGTGGCAGCTTGAATACAATAGCTGGCAGTGCACTTACCTCCATACAAGCTTAATGGAGTATGGTAAGAGTGTTGTGACCCATCGAAAAATGACAAATGCAGCCACAATACCGAAAGAGTAGTAAGCTGCAATATAACAGTTTTGGTTCTTTGACTTAAATACACTTTTTGGACAGAGTTGGTGTGATCTTGTTTAGACATCAAAAAACGTCACAAAGCAAAATTTTAAATACCTGAATGTGCAAGTTTCTCATGAGTGGTTGTGGGGGGGGGGGGGGGGGCAAACACAGGTAAGCAAAAACTTCAGGCTATTGTAAAGACAACCTTTTAGGTTATCTAGTTCAAGAAAACAGGTTCAAATCAAACCGTGCTTTAAAAAAAAAAAAAAAAAAAAAAAAAAAAAAAAAAAAAAAAATCGAGATTCAGAGTTCATGTCTTGGCCAATCCCTGTCAAGGAATCTTGCTGCACTTTCAGGAATTAAAAAAAAAAAAAAATAATAAATCCAATAAGTGGAGCTACAGAGTCCCATAAGGCCTTCAAATAAGCGGAGCTGTGACCTCATGTACAGATGCCTCATCGCTGGGGTGCCCAGGAGATACAAGAAGTAGGTGGATGATTCTACTCAATAGAACACATAATTAACCACTTGTGATCCGAAAGGTTTTACTCCCTTCATGACCAGGCCATTGTTTGCTGTTCAGCACTGTGTTAATTAAACTGCCAATTGTTCAGTCATTCAACACTACCCAAATGAAATGTATAGGATTTGTTTCACACAAATAGAGCTCTTTTGATGGTATATGATCACCAATGGTATTTATTATATACATGAAAAGACTGAAATACATAATATTTTCTACTTTCAATTACAAAACATATCCAATAACAAAATGACCCCCCCCCCCCCCACACCACACACACACAAAATTTCTTAAAACATAGGCCAAAATTTATTCTGCTACATGTATTTGGTAAAAATAAAATCCCAATAAGTGTATATGAATTGGCTTGTGTGAATGTTATAGCATCTAATATATTTGAAAAATTGATAAAAAGATCACCCAGCATATGTTCTTGGGTTGTTGCCAACATCACATGAATATACAGAAAGATCTTCAATAACTGAAAACAGAACTTTAAAGGCAACTAGTGAAATACTAAAAGCTTTATTCCAGTACAGTAAAATACTATTATACAGTATTTATAAAGCGCCAACAGTTCGCTCAGCACTGTACATTACAAAGGGGGATAGATCATGCGACAGTACAACACAATACAATGCGATGCGATACACGAGGGGTTCGAGGGCCCTGCTCTTTTGAGCTTACTACATGTTCATTGGCTCCATAAAAATTACAACATAATGGCTACATTGAACGAAAGTAGAAAAACTTGGTTTGTAGGACATCCTCTTCTTGTTCCACTGGTGAAACCCCCAGCCAGCCTAGAGAGTATCACACGGAGGTCGCCGGTAAAAAGCCAACCCCAGCCGAGCAGCAAACAGAGTCAGAAGAGCAATCACAGAGAACCTTTACATGTGGTAGATCTGCCCTGATAAGGAATTCTATATAAAAGTTCCGGCGTGGATGGACTGGGAGGATCACCTGGCCCTGTTTGCTGCTTGGCTGGGGTCAGATTTTACCAGCGACCTCAGAATGATACTCTCTGGGCTGCTGGGGAAGGGGGGGGGGGTTCCACAATCCCAGTCCTTCTGGGTGTCGGCAGATAGGCTGATTTTAAGGTATAAATATGGCTACCCATTATACTTGTGTGCAGTTAGGATACTTTTTTTTTTTTTTTTTTCTGTTTTTTTGTACCATCCTCCTCTGTTATATACCCATGAAGAAAGCATATTATCTGACATGTATTGGGTCTCCCACGGATAAATTTCCGGTGGAACAAGGGAGGGAGTCCTCCATACATCAGTCAAAGTTTACTGTCATTAAATGTAGCCATTATGTTGATATTTTTATGGAGTCGATGATCATGTAGTATTTTACTGTACTAGAATAAAGCTTTTTGTGCTTTATCTCAGCAATTCACCAGTTGCCTTAAAAAGTCCCGTATTCAAATATTGGGGGTCTTCCGATCTTTCTATACTTGAAAAAAAATTATCAATCCTCATAGCCTACCCTCATTTTTTGAGACCCTAGACTGCTAGAACAGTACATATACCCCCTAAATGACCCCCTTTTTGGCAAGTAGACAGTGAGGTATTTAGTAAGAGGCATAGTAAGTCTTTTGAAATTGTAATTTTTTTTGTCGCAGTTTTTGAAAAATGAAGAAATTCATTTTTTTAACATACTGTCATTAGTGCAGTACAGCCTCACCATATGATTGGGGTGGCAGTGATCAGGTATACTGACTGATGACAGTATGTAAAATTAAATTTTTATTTAATTTAAACTTTTTTTTTTTTTTACATCCTGTCAGGAGTAGCTCATTGTCACCATAGTGACACTAAGCTACTCTAAAGGAGGTGATCAGGGATAGAGAGATATATATATTTATTTTATTTTTTAAACACACAGTTACTGCCTACACCGTGAGGATCACACTATAATCAATGGTTTTAGCCATTCATGAGCAGCTTGCTTTTAGTTGTGGTCTGTGATTGGCTACAGCTAATATGCTACAGGTAGCCAGGTGCCTTGTGATTGCTGTGGGCCAATCAAAACAGTAAGCAAGATATTGTTCATGAATGGAAAGCCTTTCATGACAGACTGTCTACATTGTATTCATGTGATCACTATGACCAATCATAACGATCACATGAAACCCAGTTACCACTTATTGTAACCAATCTACTGTGTGCAAAAGGAGGGGTGCGCTGCGCACTACTAACCCAGAGCAAGCACAATGATGTACATGTACGTGACTGTGCCTGCAGGTGCTGCCCCAGTGCTGTATATTTACTGTGGTGGGTTGGCAGGTGATAAAAGGACTTGGCATTGATTAACTCTTTAGCATGGCAATAATCTCCCCATGACATCTGGGTGTTAGGACTCTTTATATTTGACGGGTGACATTATAGTGGATTGTCACAAATATGTGCAACAGAAAAACACTTACCCACACACGCATTCAGAAACAGCCAGTCAGTCTTCCTCATACGATTTTTGATTTGCTTTAACTTTTTGAGGTCCAGTTCCAGCTCATCCTTGCTGCCCACTGCCCCCGCCAGTTCAATTCTTTGGAAGTCCATCTCAGAATCCCGCTTTGACATAGGTGGAGAACGGCGCTGGCTGTTGCCACTACTACAGCCACCTCTCCAGCGAGCTCTGTCCTGCTCATTAATAATGGAGGAAGCTTCATCTGTGTCTGCTAGCTCTATAGCGTCCATGTTGTTTGGAGTAGGATGGTCACACACAACACATTTCTTTGCTTTGGCACAGTTCTCATATGTGCAAGCAGAACAAGTCCAATGTTGACCTTTAATGTTCAGTTTATTGCGGTCATTATATTCCTCGCATTGGTCAATAGGGCCAGGTATGGACCTTAACCCTGATCCGGAGGATTGTGGAGATTCTGTTGGGCTACGTGTCCTGCGCTGTGACAAACACTGAGTGCATCGGATAGCCCTGGGCCAGTTCAGGTAGGTGCACATGTGACAGGACCATTTACTGCTATTTTCCACGGTAAATGAGGACTTTACACGTGGCCGGGCACTGGAATCTGGGCAAATTAAGGGACTTCCACCACTTCTCTCTATGGTACCCACATTAGAGCTGCTGCTTTTGAAGGGCTCCTCTGTGATTATGGCACCACTGGGTCTCTGAGCACGACACATGGTACACTTGATAGCAGACGGCCAATTCTCGTAAGTACAATATTCGCAAGCCCACTTTATGCCATGCTCCGTCATCGTGACACTCCCAAGAGTGGACGTCTGTATCTGTCAGGAAGCTGGAGAGAAAGAAAAAAAAAAAAAGAATCCATTAGAAAATAGCATAAAAAGCTTTTCACTTTAAGTGCTCAGAGACAAAGTTACACATGTATGAAGGATATTCTCAAAAGGACGATCACACTCCAGGGCTCTTTCACACTGGTGGCTGGGGGACATTAAAAACTAGGGCAACTGAGCGGCAGTGTTACCTCCCCTTCCAGCTGCCCACCAGAATCCTAACATTACAGCCAGTGGGTGCTGGGTACTGAAAGGCCTAAAGCAACTGTAAAGTCTTATTTTTTTTAAGGAAAAAATAAACATGTCTATACTGACCTGCTGTGTAAGCTCTCCTGGCCCCTCCCTCCTGTCGGGTGCCCCCACAACAAGCAGATTGGTATGGGGGCAACCTCTGCTCCATGTGTCTATTCACACATGTAGCTGCGGCTTGGCCCCTCCTCTTCTCATTGTCTGTGATTGACAGCAGTGGGAGCCAATGGCTCCCACTTCTGTCTCAGCCAATGAAAAGAGGGAGTCACAGGATAGCCAAGTCTCCAGTGCACACAGCTGGATCAAGAGAGGGCTTAGGGGAGTATTGGGGGGCTGCTGCACAGAGAAGATTTAGAACCACTTTAATGGTAAGCACTGCCACTAGCCATGCAGTGGGAAGAAAAACAAAAAAAAAGGAAGAAGGAGACACTCACTATCTATATCACATGCACTGCCACTTAGGGAGGGTTAGCACTACTACTGACCACCAGTGCAGGAACGGGTGTTAGCAACACTAACAATGTTGCCACTGCACCAAAGACAAGATATTTGAGACCACTGACATGGACACCGATACCTCAACATTACGGTAAAAAATGTCTTACTAATTTGCAAAACCATTCCGCAGAGCAGGGAAGTATAATGTGATTAGTTAAGGAAAGAAAAAAAAACAAACAAAATAAAATACCTTAAAAGACGAAAAAAAAAAAAAAAAAAAAAAAAAAAAAAAAAAAACTACTGTTGTGCATCTCTCTAGAACGTAAAGGGTCACACTTGAGACCTTCTAAATTTTCAAGCTGACCACCACTGCTATAAACAGTAAACACAACTTTGACACAAGTCATGCACCTATACACGATCCACTGGTGCTTATAAATACACTGTATTATACAAGTTGTACTTTGTACATGCATTAAATCTATTTGCAAAAGTTAATTCTCACGACTTTGGTTTTCCTAAAACTCAAAAATTGCAAGGGTAACTATAAAGAATCACAGGAGTTCTTTGGTGCACGAGACAGCTAAAACACATAAAAAGAAATGGTCTGTAAAATTACTATAATTCAGGTGTAGGTTCATAATGCATGTCCCATGCTACCACATCCCTAGAGCAAGATTACATTTATAAAAATTGACATTTTTCAGTTAATGTCCCAGAAGCATTCTTAAGAAAAACAGACTAGGTAGAGGTCTGCAAATAAATGCAACAGTCAAAACACAGCAAGGATGATCAGAGCTCGGCCAGAATCAGGGGGAACAAATCCTTGAACATACATCATAAATATCCTGTCAGACTATTCCACAAGCCAAAATGTGCTTTTCATCTCTCAAGGTGCCTGGACTTTGTCACCAAAAATATAAAAGCTATCCAGTATAGATCTCTGCTAAACAATCCAAATACAGAAACTCCAGGGAGGAAGCCCAACTTCACTTAAAAACTGACAAAATGGTTCCAGTTGCCAAAAATACAGTAAAATGACAAAATATTCTTATAAAACTTTCTTCCTATAAAAGGCCATTATGTCACTTTTTTTTTTTAAACAGACAACCTGCAATTTATGTACCTATTCTGAAAAAAGTAAGCAACGTCATCAAAAGTCTGGTCTCTGACAGGTACATAGGGATGAGTGCTAAACCGAACTAATGTAGGTATGCAATACAGATCGTTCCTTGAGTTCAACTTTGGAGTCAGTTCCCCAAAATAATATTTCAACTATAAGTGGAGACTGATGGGCGAAGGCACCTGGTTGCTTCTTTGTGCCCTCCAGCAGTACAACTGCTTGGCATCTTTCCTGGCTCTGTTCTAACCCACCTTCCAATCTCAACTCTATATAACAATACAGATTACATCTTACTATGAAGGTATGATAACTATGAAGGAACAAAGTTTAAAAAAGGAAAGCATTTCAGCCCTTCATTAAGAGAATGCTACTCCAAGCTCTACTGCCAGACATGCACAATTTTAGGAGGTGTGTGTGTACGTACAGTGAGGAACAGAAGTATTTGAACACCCTGCGATTTTGCAAGTTCTCCTACTTAGAAATCATGGAGGGGTCTGAAATTCACATTGTAGGTGCATTCCCACTCAGACAGAATTTTAAAAACAAATTTAAGGAAATCACATTGTATGAAAGAATTCTGGCTCTCAAAGACCTGTTACTGTGCCTTTAAAAAGTCCACCTCTACTCCACTCATTAATCTCACTTAGTAGCACCTGTCTGAGCTCTTTAAAGACACCTGTCCACCCCACAGTCAGTCAGACACCAACTACTACCATGGGCAAGACCAAAAAGCTGTCAAAAGACACCAGAGACAAAATTGTGGACGTCCACAAGGCTGGAAAGGGCTACTGGGCAATTGCCAAGCAGCTTGGTGAAAATAGATCAACTGTTGGAGCAATTGTTAGAAAATGGAAGAGGCTAAAGATGACTGTCAGTCTCCCTCGGACTGGGGCTCCATGCAAGATCTCACCTCGTGGGGTATCACTGATAAGAAAGGTGAGGAATCAGCCCAGAACTACAAGGGAGAAGCTGGTCAATGGCATGAAGAGAGCTGGGACCACAGTTTCAAAGGTCACTGTCGGTAGAACACTACGCCGTCATGGTTTCAAATCATGCATTGCACGGAAGGTTCCCCTGCTCAAGTCATCACATGTCCAGGCCCGTCTGAAGTTTGCCAATGACCATCTGGATGATCCAGAGAAGGCATGGGAGAAAGTCATGTAGTCAGATGAGACCAAAATAGAACTTTTTGGTCTAAACTTCACTTGTCGTGTTTGGAGGAAAAAGGATGAGTTGCATCCCAAGAACACCATCCCTACTGTGAAGCATGGGGGTGGTAACATCATGCATTGGGGGTGCTTTTCTGCGAAGGGGACAGGACGACTGCACTGTATTAAGGAGAGGATGAATGGGGCCATTTATTGTGAGATTTTGAGCAACAACCTCCTTCCCTCACTCAGAGCACTGAAGATGGGTTATGGCTGGGTCTTCCAACATGACAACGACCCGAAGCACACAGCCAGCATAACCAAGGAGTGGCTCCGTAAGAAGCATATCAAGGTTCTGGAGTGGCCTAGCCAGTCTTCAGACCTAAATCCAATAGAACATCTTTGGAGGGAGCTGAAACCCCGTGTTGCTCAGTGACAGCCCCGAAACCTGACAGATCTAGGAGGAGTTCTGTGTGGAGGAGTGGGCCAAAATCCCCATTGCAGTGTGTGCAAACCTGGTCAAGAACTACAGGAAACGTTTGACCTCTGTAATTGCAAACAAAGGCTTCTGTACCAAATATTAACACTGATTTTCTCAGGTGTTTAAAATACTTATGTTCAGCAGTGCAAGACAAATAAATTCTTTAAAAAAAAAAAAAAAAAAAAATCATACAATGATTTCCTGAATATTTTTTTTTTTTTAAATTCTGTCTGAGTGAGAATGCACCTACAATGTGAATTTCAGACACCCCCCCCCCCCCCTCACCCCATGATTTCTAAGTGGGAGAACTTGCAAAATCGCAGGATGTTCAAATACTTCTGTTCCTCACTGTACATATAGGATTCTCACCCTCAGCAGAGCTTACATGACCCATTGCCTTGGCTTTTGGTCATGCAGAGTACACGAGTAGGAGCCATTCTTATTGCTTATAAGTCCCAATAAGTCAGCTTTTCCGTATAAGCCAGTCTGAAGCCTGAGCACTAGATCCCAGTCCATGTACTGGAGGGAAATGCTTTGTTTACTGGGACAATGTTATCCATTCCCGGTTTCTTCCAGCACTCCAGTCCACTCGCTATTCATCCCTGTCACAACCCTTTTAAGCAGTTGGGTTGAACTTTGAGCACATGGTTTATTTTTTGCACAGAAATAGGCCAAAACTGATTAAGCTCAAAATAGATTTTTATTTTGATGTACTATGTCACAATGTACTTGTACAGCAGAATCTCTGCATTAATACAAAGCTTGCAGAGCAGGGCTGTAACGTATCCAACAGCAGTGATAACGGTACTACCTTGTGTGATCATAACTGGCCAGCTTTGCCATGTACTTCAGCACAAAAGAGATAACAAAGAAGGTTTTAGGATGCATTCTTGACGGTCCAATTGTGCGCTCTCTACCTTCATAATGACACGGATTGCCTAACACAGAAAGCAATGTACCCAACTATCAGAACCAAGCTTTTTCCAGTTGGGTCCTATCACCACAAAGATGTTCTAATTCTTTGAGAAGACAATAAAATTTGGTTTTTTTCTACTGGAAGAAAAAAGTACTTCAACACACCTCTGCCAATAACATCCTCAGACAAGAGGACGAGAGGACTGCAGTAGGTCCCAGTGGTGCAGGGAAGCATATAAGGACAAGCAGGTGCCTCAGTAAGATATTGTCAGTCCTACAGCCTGCCTTGGCAAAGTACAATTAGTAAGTTATGTTTTTAACATCAAAAACATAACTGAAATAGATACCAATGCATAGGAGCCAGCAGTCAGAAAGCGAGAGGTCACAAGTAAAAACTGGTTCCATGTACTGATAAGATCTCAGTCTGATTTCTGAGAAAGAGGAATCAAAGGTTATTAAAAATCACACTGAGAATGGGAAGAAATGGGGGTATAAAAACCCTAGAAAATTGCAGGTGGTATTAGGCGCCAACATTTACATTGTCACTATGGTTCATGGTGGGCCTGAACTGTCCAAAATGTGCGTCATTATGTAACAGGAAGGACAC